TTTACACAATAATGTATATAAAAAAAAAAAAAACTCTCTCCTGATTGTGTCTAGTTTGTTAAAAAATTTTCTTTTATAATAATTTTAAGTAAAAAAAAATGTTTTACATTTTTTATTGCAAGTGAGTCCCAGCTCAAGAACTCAAGAACCTTCAAGACAACTGATGCAGTGAAATGGGACCTCTGGTCAAAGTCTACTCAAGTTTGAGAGTCTTGCTTATCCTTCGGTTGCATAAGAAAAGGCCTGTGGCAGTTCTCTTCTCTTTTGTTCTCTTGTACACCTTTTTCTTTCTATTATATTATAAAAACCATTCACATCAATACCATTATATCCAATAAACCAAACACCTTCCAAAAAACACACTCAAATAATGTTGTTAAGTCTATTGTTTGTTTTAACACAACCTTCACATACAACCTTACTATGATGCTATTTACTGTGCCATTTCAAAATATACCAAAAATTATTTTCAAAAAACCAAAATCAGTTTACCTCCTCCAGATGATTGTTGCTTATCAATCATCCAATTAGATTTTATCCAAACAACAAAGAAAATACTGAACCTGTTTAAACCAGTTTTTTAATATCACAATAACAACAACAACTACCACAATAACAAACAACATCAACTATACTCTACTATCTATATTAACAAGAGTCATGTCTCTAAGACCAGCACTGATACAAGGACCAGACTATTGATTACCTTTTAGATATTTTTTTTTGTTTACAAGTTTAAGTGACTTAGTTTTAGTTGCAATAACTATAGTTGTTATTTTTTTTTCATTTATTTTATATTCAAAATATCAAAAGATTTTATAAAATTTTGTCAAGTAGATAGGCATAGCCACTACTTCACTATTTGACATTTTAATATTGCTTTTAAAATTTTTTACAATATTAGTTAGATAGTAATCAAGTAGACAAGCTAGCATTTAACTTGTTGTATGCAATATGTATCCAAGAGATGTTTTTTTCTCAATATATATATAATCAGTATATGATAACAAATAAAGAAATAATGTTTACCTGCTGGAGAAACTCTTCCAAAAAACAATAATGTATATAAGTTAATATTAACCTATCTATAGTATTAACCATTGCTATCTTTATTATATTTAATATAATTTGGATTAGCTCTAGTGCTAAATGGTTAATACTCTTCCAAAATTAAGAATAAATTATGTGATTTGAGTATATTATCTGAGTTTATGTACTGTGAATCTGTTAAAAAAATAATAAGATAAAATAAGCTTTGTTCATGAACAAGGTTTGATACTTTTTTGATATTTTTGTTTTGTGATCTGTTTTGGATCTTGGACCATTTAATTCTTAATATTAATAATATATTTGTAATGGCTGATCTGGATATCCATATTAATATATAAAGAAGTTTGAGTGTATTATTTATTACTTTGGCAAGTTTCTTATTTGACAACTGATTATTAAGGTCTATAATGCCATATACAATTTTTTCTAGTTATGATTTTTGGTTAAAGTTAAGGTATATGTTTACTATATCAGGTTTTTTTAGTCAACTTATTAATTTGAATTTCAATTTAAACTTAATTTTTTTAGTATACTTCACTGTTCTTATAATATTCAAAGACATACTCTTAGATTTTTGATATTATTAGACATCTAAAGCAAATGTAAGGCTCCTAACAATACCACTTTGATACCAGTTCGATACTTAAATTTACTATAAAAACATATGAGTAAGTCACAACCCATATATTAAATTTACTATATATCGGTACTATTTTGATACCAGTTTAATACCAGTTTGATACTTTTTCAGAACCCTAAGCAAATGCTATCTTGATATATATTTGGATATATAGTATCTTATGCAAGAGTTTTCTTGTTGAAAAGATTCTACTTAAAATTTTACTTTTAAATACTTTTAAAAAAGAGAGTTTATACTTATTTTATTTGATTAGTAAGTTGTTTGTGAGAATAAGATATTGTATAATTTCTATTTATAATTTCAGGTTTCATTTTTTTTGACTGATGAACTATTGATAATATTGATAAGTCTATATGTTTGCTATATTTTTTAATCCATATTATTATACTATATTTTCATATATCTTTAATTTGTGATTTAGACCTATATTTTTATTTTTTTTATTTATTTTTTTTATAGTAGAATGACATTAGATACTGGGTTTTATTGCATATTCTTAGAATTACAAATTTCGTCATATCAAACATTCTCTATAATACTATAACTATAGTTAAATACTAGCCTATCTACTTTTTGTATCTGTCAATATACTGTTCACCCTTAAGGTGTGTCATATTGTTTTCAAGGAAACTATCTAGGAGGTGAAAATCCTATCACTAGTTTTAAATAACTATACCTACTAGTCCAACTATGAGTGAAAACAATGGATCTGCTAATTAGGGCTTCTAATTATACCACTTTAATACCACTTCGATACCAGTTCGATACTTAAATTTACTATAAAAACATATGAGTAGGTCACATCCCATATATTAAATTTACTATAGATCAGTACCATTTCGATACCAGTTTGATACCAGTTCAGTATTTTTTCAGAGCCCTACTGCTAACTATTTTAAGTAGGTTACCTATCACATCACACCTTTTTGCTCACACAGCTATAATTTTAGAGGAGTGTTTTTCTTAAACTTGCCTTAGGACCACCATGAGGATGACCATATGTTAGTATCGGTATGAAGTTTTCTTCAAGGCTTTTTACTTTCGATTGCTAGCAGGAAAGGATTTCGCAACTTGGGATTGGTTAAGATAGAATACAGCCCAGTCTGTATATCCAAATGTGTGGATGGGTTTTTCAGTTATGCCGACAATTATCATGTCACCATCCTAATGATTATTGCATCACTACATCTTTTATGAAGGTCACAATCTCAATACTCACTAAATTAGCATATGAATTGGCTTCACATAAGAAACAGCGCATATCAGATTATAGTGCCAGATACTATATTAATACTATTCAACTGCCTTCATATGGAGTTGAACTGGTATCTTGTGATCTGACCTGTGGAGCACTAACCACTGTGCTATGGATCCATAGGTTGACCTATATTTTTATTAATAAATTAATATAGAATTATTTATATATTATAAAATTTTATAAATTTGTTTTCAAAAGAAAATAAAAAAAACCATATAATTTTTTATTAATTTTAATATTAACTTTAAAGCTAATTTTAAATATTAAACATATTTTTTTAAAAAAAGTAATAAAAATATTTTTATATTGTAATTTTTAAAAAATTATTATTATTAATTTTATTAAATTAATCAATAAATAATTTTATATAAAGATATTTTACTGCCTTGAAAAAGTAAAATAAAAATCGTATCAATTTAAACTTGTAGTAAACAAGATGTTTTTATAAAATAAAAGAAAATAGGAATAAAAGAAAAAAGAATAAAAGAAAATATTTAAAAAAATATCAAAAAAATTAAAAAAGATGAAATTCACAATCAAATATATTGAAACTTTCAGTTTTTTTTTTTGATAAATTTCAAAATTATTGATAAAAATAATTTTCAATTCTTAATAATTTAATTTATTCAATATATGTTCTGTTTTAAATATTATTTAACAAATTAAGAAGAATAATTAAAAATTATTATTTTAGTCAATTTTACAACTCTGCTCTAATATTGGAATCAAAAGATAACAATATATAAAATTGAATTTCAATTGAAAAACAATAAAAAACATAAAAGAAAAATATGAAATAAATATAATTTTATTAAAAGAAAGTTAAAGAAAATACAAGAATTTGAAATTTTATAATTATAATAGTTATTTTTTTTTTTACAGCTAGAGAAAATCATAATCTTTTTATAATGTTTTGATCAATTGTAGATTGCTTTTAATCTAATTGTTTATATATGATTCATTTATTTATACAAAAAAATTGGCTAGTAAATTATTTGTTACACTTAGGATAATTATTAAAGAAAATTCTAATCTGTAAGAGAAAAGCAAAATTACTCAAGATATGATTAAGAAAATTTTTTTTGAAATCTTACCAAAAAATATTACTCTAGTCTTTATGCAAATAGTTGCTTAGAATCTTAAAGAAGCTTTACAATTTGTTTTTGAGCTACAGTGCTTTGAATTTGCTGCACTATTCAAAACTATTCATATATTTTGAAAATTCTTAAAGAAAAAAAATATAATATAAAAAATATAGTAAAAAATAAAAAATATTAATAATATATGACAGTATCTATCTAAAGTTAATAAAATTTCCAAAATTTTTAGTAACAATATTTATAATATTTAAAAATAAAAAATTTTTTTTTTAATTTTAAATATATTTTTTATTATAAAAATATTTAAAATTGAAATCGAATTAAAAATTTTTAATTATTTTTCAAACAGTTTTTATGATAAAAATATATATATTTATATCAAGAATCAATTTTTTTCAACTGTAAGTGTATTAAAAATAAAAATTAAAAAAAATTATTATACTTATAAACAAACTTATAGTTAGGATATCAAAGAACTTATTTGTAAAGTTTCATATAATTTGATTGAATTATAACTAAATATATAATTCTGGTTTTTTTGCATCACACTGTATATATAAAATTTGTAAAATTTATTTCAAAAATAATTAAAAAAATTTTTTTAAACTGCTTATCATTGAACAAATTAATATTTCTATAAAAACATAATTTAAAAAATATTTTTTCTAGTTTAAAGTTTTTAAATATTGTTTATTTCAATAAAAGTAAACTTAATTACAAATTATAACAAAAAAAATAGTATATAACAATTATAAGAGACTTTAACTTTGTTTAAATCAGTATAAGAATTTTTTATTGTAAATAAAATAAATGCGGTAAATCAAATACACAACTAAATGAAATAGACAAAAATTTTCTATAATCCTAAAAAAAAATAGTAACGATTAAATCGAATGAATAGATCTATATATTGAATTTTCTCAATCAGTAGTTTCAATATATTTTATTTCACTTAAGTACATGCATTGCTGTTACCACAACGGATAATACCACCTTCACTACCTGGACCTTGTAAGGTGGCTGGAAATGCCATGGCGTTTAAACAAATACTTTCGGTAAGAGTCGAGTCGTAAACACGATAACACCCCTCATATCCAGCGTTAAAAACCCATTCAAGGCACCCTGGATCATCAACACAAGAATCACAACAATCTTGAGCAGTGGTGGCATCATTATTTATCGAGTATGAACTGGTATCATGTATCTGGTTAGTCCATCCTGGACTACCCGGTGATAGACAACATACCGATATGCATTTAGGTTTTGTAGGCTTCTTAACACATTTTTTAGAACTAGCATCAACAGTAATAGTTAATGCAAGTAAAATTGTAAGAACAATTAAAAAAATGTTATAAGTTTGACGATTCATATCGATATTGTCAAATTTATTGATTAAAAGTGAAAACGTAGAGTTTTCTTCATCATGCTTATATAGACATACAGTACATCTAGCAGAGCGCGGGGGGTGTCACTCGTGTGGCACCCTTACGGCATGCGGCGCCTGTTGCGAAACGCTTACAATGATATATGTAATACGTATACAAAAAGCTTTCTTTTTTAGTTGTATTACGGTCGAAATAAGGAAACCGTAATTTATTATATGTATGCCTTTTTTTATACGTACGCACGTACGTACAGTACATAATTAGAGTCTACAATTAACTTAACTTTATGATTACAGTATGTGATTAGCGATTAGCTAGCCAATTATCATTAACTATACTAGCATTAATCTCAACCTCAAAATTTGATTAAATAAAAAATTACAATTTCGATAAGATATTGATAAAAAAAAAAATAAAAGATTTTTTTAAGTAGTTTATGGATTATTTGGTTGGACATGTTTTCTAGTGGTTCTTTCAAATAGTAAATATATACTATAGTTATTATTTTATCTTTGCAATGCTTCTGATAATATCCAAAAGTTACAATTGGATAATTTGTAATAGATTATAAAAAACTAATATATGTATATTTTTAAAAGTAATTTGCAAAGATTATTTATCAGAATAGCGAGCAAAAATTTTATTAAAAGTTTGTGACAGAATAACTATTTTTCATTTTTTTTTCATTTTTTGGGGGGGGGTTATCTCAATAGATAAACATCATCTCTTTATTTGATTTGTATATATCAAGGTATACATCGTGAAAGAAACAACAT